GGGGGGCGGGGATGCTATATGGCAAAGACACACCCCCAATGGACAACATAATTACAGAACGGCGTTCGCAAGCAAACCATTACGGATGCTACAGTTCGATCTTGCTGGTGTACCAAGATGAAAGCCAATTGGGGCCTAAACCATGCTCGTTTACCAGTCGAACATTGATTGATGAAAGCAAACCATTACAGAACGGCGTTAGCAAGCAAACCATTTCGGATGCTACAGTTCGATCTTGCTGGTGTACCAAGATGAAAGCCAATTGGGGCCTAAACCATGCTCGTTTACCAGTCGAACATTGATTGATGAAAGCAAACCATTACAGAACGGCGTTAGCAAGCAAACCATTTCGGATGCTACAGTTCTATCTTGCTGGTGTACCAAGATGAAAGCCAATTGGGGCCTAAATCATGCTCGTTTTCCAATCGAACATTGACTGATAGTCCACGGGCATGAAGTTTACCAGGGCACGAAGTGTGCCTGCATGCATAATTTCCGAGTCCCCAGAGGTACAGATCCTGAGCTTATACCTCACAGTCCATGAAATCTCCAGCACCAGTCAAATCAACAACCACCAAGGCCGAGGGGTGACGAGTAAGCTGGAGATTTCATGGACTGTCAGGTATGAGCTCAGGATCTGTACCTCCGGGGACTTGGTCCATGACCCTGAGGAGGACGCACTGAGGATTTGTCCCCAGAGGTACAGATCCTGAGCTTATGCCTGACAGTCCATGAAATCTCCAGCACACGTGGTTAACCATGGCTGTTATTTAAGGCGAAGTTTCACTGAAACTAGAACATTGGCTGAATACACCCCCCCCATAGTTACCGCGCACAAGTGCGCAGTGTGGTGCGGGGGGGTGCGCACTGCGCTGTGTGCTCGAATGACAGCGCGCACACTGTGCGCTGCGCGCAGTGCGCAGTGCGGTCCGCTGTGCACGGTCCGCACGCTGAGGGAGGTGTATTCTGCTAAAACATGGAACCATACACCACCATATGCTACGTCTTTTGTGCATTTGGTGAGTAGTGGAGCAGGCCCCACTGCACGTATTCGTAAGAAAACAAAAACAAGAAAACGAGAGAGCCACGGGCGTCTTCATCCTAACCCATAACTGCCGACATGCAGACCTGAACGCCAATCTTCAGCATATATTGGTGGTCGGCTGGCCCTAGAAGACGTGACTTGTGATCTCTACGAACTGTGTGGGATCTGCAGAAGGGAACGGGAAGAATATCTTTCATACCCCGCCTAAAAAAAAAGATGGAATGAGCCCTATTTTACAAGTATTTTACTATTTTACGCTTCGCCATTCTGAAACTTTGGGGGGAAGTGCCTGCGGAGATGGAAAATTGGCAGCCCTTACCCAAAATAAAATTTCGAGCTTGGGGCGCGGCCGGTATCTGAGCTCGCGCGGTGAGTTTAACATTTTTGCCTAGTTGGTCGTGCTAAGAAATTACAAAACACCTACTCTTTTTTTTTTTTTTTTTTTGTAGACCTAATTTTTCCAGTGCGCTGCGTTTCCATGCGCTCTGCGGTGCGCTGCACGCTGTGCGCAATTCATGTGCACCACGCACCACGGTGCGCCGCAACTATGAACCCCTCCCCCAAAGAAAAAAAAAAACTATTCATATTTTCCTTTTTTGTGAGGGGTGGGGTCAGGGTTCTGGAACCTCAAAGCTGAAGCCGGATCAAATTTCAGTCGATTTTCAGCATAGAAAGAATATTGCATATAATCTATTGCGTGCTTTATCAACTTGCTCGATTGATCGAATCCTGCTATACCCATAAGGCCACGAAGTGGGGTAGACACGCTTATACTGCTTTCAGGCAACTAACTTGTATACATATTCCAGAAGGAAACGGCTCTGGCGAAATTGGTTTGCCCACCACACTTGGGATGTGGCGACGCTTCGCGCCTTGTGTGTTCTAGTCCCTCCAGCCGTACACTAGAAACGAAGAGCGATATGTATATGCAAGGAAGATGAGCAATAGCGAACTTCAGCAATCAAACAGCAGCATACATACGAGTCCAGATATTGCACCACGAGATTCACCAAATAAGAACACACCAAGAGTTCATAATTGACAATGCTGAAATAGTCCCATCATCATCAACGACGAACCAGAGTTGATATCCTATCTGGCGCTCGGCGCCCAGACTACATGTGGCAGATCCTATCAAGCCTACACTATGATGCCGAAAGATGACATCAACAGCTTTCCCGAAGTACGAGCATACAGCGACCAGCGTCGCACACTTCCAGCACCAGGTATGTCTCTCGCCACACTCACAACCTCGTTCCCCAACACACAGATGCCACTAGCACCCAAGGACCACCCTGCGCTTCACCCAGCTTATAGCAGCGCAGCTCAGCTATGGCTTCGTGCTCCTTCCCTGCTCGCCCGTGAGAAGACCACCCTGCGCTTCACCCAGCTTACAGCAGCGCAGCTCAGCTATGGCTTCGTGCTCCTTCCCTGCTCGCCCGTGAGAGCGTAGGTGCCAGCCAGCAAATAGCGCAGCATGAAGCCAGCACCCAAATGCCAAATATGGAGGCAGGCCCTTTGCTATATCGAAGTGGCCTGCGTCCAGTCCCAGGAAGCTTCCAGTAGGCCCCAGTAGCCTGGGGCCCAGCACGACGAGAACAGGCATTGGGCCTGAGGTCGTTGCATGTGGCCAACTGCATTTGCCCTGTGTTTGGCCCAGTATCCAGCCCAGGGCCTGCTTCACAAACATTCACACAGGCGGCCCAAGGCCTGGGTTCATTCAACCAACTGGCGCTGCGCAACTGCCTGAATTTCCCTGAGTTGCGTGGTGGCCAGAATAGGGCCCTGAAGGCCTCGTCGAGACTACCTTCGCTTAGGGCGGCCGATGGGCTGCAAAATGGGGCCTTATGGGGCTCATAGAGGCAGTGGCCTCGCATTCCCTCCTCCTTAGCTTCAACAGTCCTCTGAGAAACTGAGTCTTCAATCATGGGGCGCTTTCCCTTCTGCAGAGATTTCTCATAATGGGCTACAACTTGAGCGGTCTGCATGAGTTCTTCCCTCGTGAACCAACGGTCCTCCTTGGGATCAGCATGATGCCTGGACCGAACGCGGTACTGCAGCTTCGGTTTCGGAGGACGTCCCCTTCCTGCAGGTCTCTGAGCTGGCAGCTCCCTGTGATCCACAATGTCATCGATGTCCACTTCTCCATCCATGGTTGGGGGCAGCATTGAGCGATGAGAAGGAAACTCATCTGTTTCCTTTAAAGGTGCAAGCTTGGAGGCGTGAAAGACAGGGTAAATTCGTCGATGACCAGGGATCCGGATAACATAGGATGGCCCATCCGGATCTGTCCCCACGATGTCCAAGACTTCCCAGAGTCCAACGTACTGGGGCATGAGTTTGAGGGAAATCCCATGCTCCTGTCCCAGTTCTGAAGACTTAACCCAGACTCTGTCCCCAACCTGAAACGTAGAAGGACGGCGTTGTCTATTTTCAGACTCTATCATTGCAGTCTGTGCCTTATGCATCTGTTCTACAGCCTGCTGCATCTTCTGTTCATACTGATAAGCAAATTCTAAGGCACCTGGTGCAGCAGTGGTCTGATTCTCAGGGAGAAGAAAGTCCTAAGGGCAGTCTAGGCTTGAAAGATAGCAGTAAGCTGTTTGGGCTCACCCCAGTGGCGCTGTGTACAACGTTGTTGTACAAGCTGGCGATGAGACCAAGCTTCTCATCCCAGTCCACCTGATTGGACTTGATGTAATGCCTCAACAGGTGTTGAACAGCGCGGTTCAGTTGCTCGGCTTCGCCATTGGGCTCTGGGTGATTTCCAGAAGTCATTTGCAACTGGGTCCCCTGTTCCGCAGCAGCGGCTTTCCACAACTCACTGGTAAATCGGACATCCTTTTCACTAACTATGGACTTGGGCAACCCTAAATCTCTAACCCAATTCCCTCTGAACATCTTAATGGCATACTCCGTTTTAGCTGTTGCCGTCGTCGCTGCTAGTCTAGCAAACTTACTAAATTTATCCACAATGACGTAGATATAGCGCATTCCACTCTTGCTGGTGATCAGAGTATCCATGGAATCCATGGACAATCTCTCACCAGGCTTTTCCGAAATCGAAGTGGCTTCAAGAGCCCAAGAGGGGCATGTATACGTGGCTCGTCTCTCTGACAAACTTGACACGTCTCCACGTACAGATGAGCATCTCGCATCATCGTCGGCCACCAGAATCGCTGCAGCAGATTAGCTGCGGTCTTTTCATACCCAAAATGACCGGTGGCATCATGACATTCACCTAAAAATAAACTACGCAAAGACTCGCTATTAGGCACACACAATCGTTTATTCCCTGCCTTCTCAAGGAACAGCAAGCCATTGACCAATTCAAACTCGGCAGAGGTCTTCTTGTCCTTCGCCTGCAGTCTGCGTATGATCTCATACATGAACTGGTCCTCGCGATAGGCTTCCACCAAGGATTGAGGAACATTGTCCGTCAGATCGAACTCAATAATCAGCGCACCTGAGAAATCAGATCTACGCGACAAGGCCTGAGAAATCAGGTCTACGCGACAAGGCATACGCAACCTTGTTGTACTCCCCATTCACATACCGAGGGTCAAAGTCATATTGCTCATAGATTTCGATCCAACGTTTGAGAGCATCAGAGATCACCGGCTGAGTTCTCATCCATCTCAGGGTCTGATGATCAGTCCCGAGGATGAAGAAACTCCCAAGGAGATAGTGTCTCCAATGGGTCAGAGCCTTGTACTCAGCATAGAGTTCCTTCTCATAGGTGGCCGTAGCCAACTTTGGCCCCTCCTGCTGGGCGAGCACGGCCCCAATGCCATATTGGTTGGAATCCGTGGTGGCTATAAACGGCTTGTCAGGATCAGGACGTTTCAAGACCTCGTACTGCGTCAACGCATGCTTCAGATGTCTGAACGCAGCCTCGCACTCATCTGTCCACTCCCATGGGGTGTCAAGGCGGGTCAGATCAGTCAAAGGAGCGGCCACTATGCTATAGTTCTTAACGGAAGTCCTATAGTAACTTGTCATTCCGAAGAAAGATCTCAGTCACAGACTGAGGACGTGGCCAATCCCGAATGCTGGCCACCTTCGCGTCATCGGGCTTCAACCCATCCGTGGATATCTCATGACCCAAGTACAAGACACGTGTGGCCAAACTCGCACTTCTCACCGTTGATCTTGAACTTGTGATGTCGCAGGAGACTGAGGACGTCCAAATGTGCAAATGCTCCTCGACAGTATTACTAAAAATAAGTATGTCATCGAGGTACACGACGACAAACTTATCCAAGCAGTCATGGAATCTCCGATTCATAGCGTGCTGAAAGGTGCCATGAGCATTGCAAAGGCCGAAAGGCATCGCCACAAACTCGTACAGACCGTACCTGGTCTGAAAAGCGATTTTGTGCTGATCCTCAGGCCGGATTGCAATCTGATGGTACCCGGACTTCAGATCTATTTTACTGAAGTACCGAAACCCTTGCACTCTATCCAACAGATCATCGATGCGCAGTAGGGGCTCCCTGTTCTTTACAGTGATGGCATTGAGGCCCCTATAGTCAATGCACATCCTAAGTGTACCCTCCTTCTTCTTAGGTACGAATAGAACTGGAGACCCATAAGGAGAGACACTCGGCCGGATCCAACCCTTCTCTACGAGTTCCTTGAGCTGTCGATGAAGCTCATCGAGCTCGCCTGGAGACATCCGGTAGATCCTACCCTTCGGAATGCTAGACCCTGGGATAATCTCTATCGCGTGGACGACCTCCCTCTCTACAACCCCTGTCGGCTCTTCAAATAGATCAGGGTACTTGGCAACTACNCTAGACCCTGGGATAATCTCTATCGCGTGGACGACCTCCCTCTCTACAACCCCTGTCGGCTCTTCAAATAGATCAGGGTACTTGGCAACTACTCCCTCTATCTTCGGCGGCATTTTCACCGGCTCGCCTGCAGCAGAGACATAAACTAAGTACATACTCTCCTCCTGATTTTGCTTGTAATAGTCATAGAACGCGGCCGCACACATGCATCCATGGGACTCGATCAGACTACTAGCTCTGAACTTGTGTAATCTGGCGGTCCCTCCACCTGGCAAAGTGTGTTTGACCACTTTTCGGTCCTCGTGTAATCTGGCGGTCCCTCCACCTAACAAAGTGTGTTTGACCACTTTTCGATCCCAGTCAAACTGCTATTGTGCCACAAAGAGGTAGTACATACCTAACAACATGTCCACGGGTAGCTCATCGCTCACGAGGAACGAGACGCGATGTCTCACAGGTCGACTCAGGCACTGCACTTGCCCCTGCAAGCACAGACTCAACGCATGCACGACTGATGAAGTTCCTGGTCGAGCAAGTGTCATAATAGGCCCCGGCCTTGCAACCGCCAATGACAACCTCGCTGACGAACATCTCACCCTTATGGGCTTTGACTAAGGCCGTCCAAGAAGCAAGCGGGTTTGATCTAGACCACTCCACCTCTAGCTCCTCTAAGGACTCAAACACATTCATCGAACAGAGGCTCGATGAGGCTGAACGTGTTTGCGGGACGACACTGGAGTCAATAGCTTGGTCCATCTCTCGAGATGGTGAGGGTGTGTCCACCACCTCAACCCTAGCAGGAATAACTATTATTCCTACTGGCCCGACGTGTTTTCCGAAGCGGTGCCAGAACTGCTGGCCACATTGCTACCAACGGGAGCGGAGGATCCCAACGCCTGCCCCATCGTAGGCGGAATCTTTTCGGTTACCTTCTTATTTCGGCACTTGAATTGGTTACGGCCATATTGGCCACAACGAATACAAGCTTTCCGGGTGTACCAGTCTCTCCACACGTCCTCAATAAGACCCGCTTTCTCCACGGCGTCTACCGGTCGCCTTACCTTTCTGAGCAACGGCAGTGACTACTCCACCCTCTGAAGCTTCAACGCTGCCTTCCTCTACACCTACTCCTCCCTGGAAGTGTTCGTCTACTTCGATAGTAGAACCATCGTTATCGACAAACATTAAGCGGCCCTTCGCCTTCCAACTGGGAGGCAGTGTCTTCTTCCTCCCATCCGTAGTGGGTGCCTGTCCATGCCCTATCTTAGCCTCAAGGTCTAGGGCCATCTTGCTGAACGAAGGAAATGTTGGCCTGACTTGCCAACTGATTCGAGGCATAGAGAAGCACCTCAGGTACGAGCTAAGTAAAAAAGCATCATAGCGCAGCCCTAGGACACAGTTCAGACACTCAACAGCGTCGGTGGCTTCCCTAAATGACTTAAACTGTCGTGTGTGCAGTGTCAGTATCGCGTCAGTGGCCCTTTGGGCCTCTTGAGGATTGTGCCACCTTTCCTCCATCTTCAGGAAGTCCTCCAATTTATGGGTGACCGCCCAAGCGTGAAAGTCATGACCATACCCTTGGAGCTGCACTCAACTCAACCATCTTGCTGCACTACCCTCTAGGTAGGAGGCAGCCACAAGCACTTCTTAATGTGGCAAGGTAAGTTTACACCTGACATAGACCATGTGTCGAGGTCTTCGCCTCTCTTGTCCCCTGTGAAGGGTTTCGAGAGTGGCGATGGTCGTCTTTGGGACCCACTGTGTTTGTCCCGGTCCCTGCATCACGGCGGGCTGTGGACCCTGTGACACAGGTTGCTGTGCTAGCTGCTGGGGCTGTGTGTCTTGCGGCTGCACAGGCTGCCAAACAGCAGGCTGCGTGGTGACTACAACCTGCAACGAAGTTTGGGTGAACACTGATTGAACAGGAACCTGCAAACTAGTCCCTGCTGATACCCCTCCTGACAACGGCATGCCCAGCGAAATGATCGCAACCGTTGACGGGGCTACATATGGGGATACCCCAATCATCGATGGGACATAAGGAGGAGGATGTACGACGGGCCAGGCACCAAGCCCGAACATTGACAACGTTGCCTGCGTTCGCCCAACCGACAAGGCCAGACTTCGCTGGATGTCCTGAAGGATGGTTTTGTGATGGTCCTGCATCTCCACTACATTCAGCAGGTCAGACCGTACGAGTCTCACATCATCAGTCACATTCGACAGGTCCATCTCCTCTAACTCACTAACGTCCGCTCGTCTACGTTGCATCCTGGCTCTTCTTCTAATCATTATATCCTTCTCCGCTTTTATCTGTCCTAATGCATGCTGTAGTTGTGCCTCTTTTAGAGCTGCCTCCTGTATGGCAATCTCATCGGGGGTCAACACCAATGGCTAGCTTGCCATTACACCAGTGGACTGACTCTGGGTCTGCTCAACCGTTGACCCGACAGACCCTGAACTACCAGCCTGAGAGGACTGCTGTGCTGAGGTGGCCATGGCTTCTGAAGCTGTGGCTTCACTCACAAGTGCCCTGCTAGCCTCTGCTGCTCTAGCCCTCCTCTCCTGCTGCTGCCTCTCCCTAAGCTGGCGGAACAGATGTTTGTCGCCCTCTGGTCCTAATGCCAAGTGGGCTACTGGGCGCCTTGCCCATCGCAAGATCCAATCGTCCCGTTGCTGTTCCTCCCTATCACTCATAAGCTACAGCACTGTACACAATCTGCACTAATGCACTCTAAATGCCTACCGCAGCGTAGTGCAAAGACCAACTAATTAGGTGGTTGCTATTTTGGAACAGATATCACTTGAGGTCAACAGATAAGTCAGATTCCTACAAACGAAACTCTTTTTAGTTTGACTAGTCCGCAAACAGAAGCACTATGAACAAGAAGCAGTTCTAACTAATGTTGTCTGTCAGATGCTCATGGCTGTACACCTAACTAATCAAAACATAAAAATAGAATCAATTGTGTGGATAGGACAGTATGGAATTTTCTCAAACGTATCACCTGGAATCAACCCCTCACTTAGTTCCCTTGAGTATCTCTTGACGTCAGCGTCCCTGAGCAATCCGGAGGCGTTGCGTGTCTAAAGGTGTGTCCGGCCCACCCCTGTGCCCCTAGTATATGCTGAGCTGGCCAGACCTGCACTGGATTATCCTCGTGTGCAGCGAGCCTTACAACCATTGGCTGATCCAGAGGCAATTCAACGTCCGCCCCCAAGTGACTCCAGGAATTCTTTTACGTCGCAGCCGGAAGACGATCACAGCCAATGGTTCCCCTTCCCGTGCTTATCAAAGGACGCCCGGTCTCGTCTCCCTCAAGGGCTGGCCTGCCCAACAGTACCCATCTAACAGCGCAGCAAGCCGAACAAAGGACAAGCAGCAAGGCATACGTGCTCTAATCCCTGTGGGTTGGCATGGTGATCGTGACCCAGTGCTTCGTCCAGGCCCTTCATAAAGCTCTGCCCATCTTCTCCCAGATGCTCCACGTGAACATTGCCGACTCTCAAGGTTGAGCGCACTCGACACCTCACAATGAGAGGACTCTCGGGAAGGAACACACAACCTCACCGTAAGAAGTGTCGTAGAGGGTAGATAAGGTTAAGTGCTTACCTCAAATAGCTGCCCCCAACCACAGAGATAATCTCACCAGATGACCAAATTGCGATTGCGATGACCAGTCACTGCATCGGCACAACCAGCATTATCGGCACAACCAGCATTATCTCGGCGTTCCACCTCAGCATCAATCGCACATTAGACAGTTCTCATCACACAGTCCAGACCACATTAACACCGTGTAGCCTTCCTGGCGATCCCCTCACACCTTATGGGTCGCCACTCACTCGTCTCCACCCTCCTCATTACACACCACTTACGGCCAAACTCGCCTGGCAGACCGCATGTATGTACCGTACCAGGCAGAAGACAAGCGCCAGATGAGCACAATCGTACCACAGCTCTGATACCAAATTGCAAGGAAGATGAGCAGTAGCGAAAGTCAGCAATCAAACAGCATCATACATACGAGTCCAGATAGTCGTGACCTCGAACCAACAGCAGAATTGCACCACGAGATTCACCAAATAAGAACACACCAAGAGTTCATAATTGACAATGCTGAAATAGTCCCATCATCATCAACGACGAACCAGAGTT